TCGTATCTCACATGTTTTAATTTCGATGAACGTTGATTTGGTTGACTTTGAAGTTTATTAAATGTACAATAAATTTGATAAACAAATATAGTGAAAATAATAGCAGAAGTTTTCAATTGGTGATCGACCACTGGAGGGATCGCACATTTGGGGAGAAGCAGCGCCTTTGGATCTGCAGTCAGACTACATCGGGGATGTCAGATTACACATGTACACACTACTACACACTACTTAAATGCACATCACTTACCACCTGACTGGTACCCTGTGGTCAACCCTACCTCCGGAAATCGGTAAGTTGTGCTTGCTTATTTGCCATTAATTTAGAACTATCCATAGGCTATTTGGGCCCCTCCCTTGGTTGCCCGTCGCGATTACCACTCATAGGCCCTGGTACGGTCGACCTTTGTCGGAGCAACTAAGAGCGTGAAAAACTATAATTTAAAAAAAAACACTAAATATACTAGGTTTAGTAGGTTTTTTTTAAATTGTAGATACGCTGGAAAGCACCCCGCGGTATCGTGACAAGAACTTTGGCTACGTTTCCCCTCTGAATGGCTTTACTTAGCCTTTGAGCGAAAAAAAAACCAGCCCTCTTATCACCAGCAACGAACAACCGTGAATGGAGTTCCTTTAACTTCACCGCACGTGGAACCCACGAACCGAAAGTCTCTACAGCAAATGGCACAAATATGTAGTTATCTCTCAGAAAGCTATATTTGCGCCACTAACTTAGTTCAGCCACCTCTGATGCCGCCCTGGCTCTAAACAAGGTACTCCTGAGATGAGAGGTCGCCAAAGTGTTTACGCAAGTAGCATATCACACAGGACTTTACCTCTCTCATAAGGGACCAATGTCATAACGTCGGATCTCTTGTCAACGTTTCTAAATATTCCACAAGGCTCTAAAAGCGAGGGAACATTTATAGAGACAAGAGCCCTTTGGATGACATCGTTCAAAGAACCGTGCCGTGAAAACTTAGCATTTTTTCATTTTTTTTAACGATGGTAGAGCCACGCAGCAGTTTTTGCTGTTGCATGGATGGGCCGGCTCGAGCCGGGTTGGTACCACGACCTCACATAATACCGGCGTGAAGTAGAAGCTCTGCTTCTGCGTTTCGTCTGGTCAGTGCAGGTGGCCGGATGCCCAATTCCCCCCCATCATCAACATGGTAGCGGAATTACACAAGAGACTACCCCAGGAGGGTACCAGTACCCCTGGAGAATCCCTCACTGAGCATCCACGACCATGTTATTTCAATCCTGAGCGTGGGTGCACAGGCTGCCCCGCGTATTCTGGGGGGGGGGGGCAAAATTCCGCTCAAAAACATAACTGCTCGGGGCAAACTGAGCGACAATACCCGGGCGACCCCTGCCACGCTATCCGTGAATTTCTGCAATATCAGGGGACTTCACTCTAACCTAAACGCCGTACACTACCATCTCGAGACGGCGAAGCCGGCCTTGCTCTTTCTGACCGAGACGCAGGTTTCCTCTCCGGCTGATATTTCGTATCTCTCCTACCCGGCGTACAAATTGGGGCACTCCTTTGTGCCTCGGGCTGGAGTTTGCGTGTATGTCTGAGAGGACATCTGTTCTCGACGCCTCGGCAGTCTTGAAGGTTCGGACCTGTCCATCCTTTGGTTACGCGTAGACAGCGACGACCATCCGCGCGTCTAGGGGTGCCTCTATAGGTCCCATAGCGGTAATGCTGAAACAGACCGACTCATCGACCACGTCCAAATGGCTACAGATTCCATGCTACAATAGGTCCCATCCGCAGAGATCGTGATCCTTGGCGATTTTAACGCCCACCACGCCGAATGGCTCGGTTCACGTTAAACCGATCATGCGGGGAGATCTGTTTATGACTTTGCCTTGGCATATGGTCTGACACAACTGGTTACTTCGCCTACGCGGATTCCAGATGTGGAGGATCACACACCTTCCCTGTTGGACCTTCTGCTGACCTCTCATCCGGACGGATATCAGGTTTCCGTCGATGCCCCTCTCGGCTCTTCGGACCATTGTCTGATCCGGAGTGTGGTGCCACTCACGCTCCCCTCGCGGTTGCGTTTTGCAGGTTGCCGCCGTGTTTGGCATTACAGGTCAGCGGATTGGGACAAAATGCGGTCTTTCTTTGCTTCCTACCCATGGGGGCGGGTTTGCTTCTCGCCGGATGATCCCAGCGCTGTTGCTGACTCTGTCACTGATGTGGTGCTACAGGGAATGGAACTATTTATTCCATTATCTGTGGTAACCATCGGAGGCAGATCTCAGCCTTGGTTTGGTCGCTCCTGTAAGACTGCATTACGCAGTAAGCAGGAGTGTTATCAAGCTTGGGCTGCGGCTTCGGTGACTCGGGATGTAAACACCAGCACATTTAAAAAGAAGTATAACTTCGCCTCCAGGTCCTTCAAAAGTGTTATTGCCAAGGCAAAGTCAGAGCACATAGGCAGAATTGGCGGGAAACTAGTTCGCCTTCCTTCGGGAACCCGTGCATTCTGGTCTCTCGCCAAGGCTGTCCAAGGGAATTTCTGTAAGCCATCACTTCCATCTCTGCACAGGGAGGACGACTCACTGGCCCAAGACGCAAAACACAAAGCCGACCTTTTAGGCTCCCTCTTTGCATCCAACTCGACTCTTGATGACGGGGGGAAAACACCGCTGACCATCCCGCGGTGTGAGTGCTCTATGCCGGATGTGCTGTTCTCACAACGCTCGGTTCGCAAAGCACTTCTCTCCCTGGACATCCAGAAGTCGAGTGGGCCTGACGGAATCCCCCCAATTGTGCTGAGGACGTGTGCACCGGAGTCGGCACCTGTCCTAACGCGTCTTTTCCGGTACTCCTACTCCCAAGGCGTAGTCCTGAACTCATGGAAGACAGCTTTTGTTCACCCGATCCATAAAAATGGCGACCGTTTAGACCCGTCCAACTATAGGCCTATCGCGATCACCTCCTTGTTCTCCAAAATAATGGAATCCAGTATTAACTGCCAGCTCATCCGGTACCTTGAGGATCAACAGCTGATTAGTGACCGCCAATACGGTTTTCGTCGGGGTCGATCAGCTGGTGATCTTCTGGTCTACCTGACCCATAGATGGGCGGAGGCAGTAGAGTCCAAGGGGGAGGCGTTGACCGTTAGTCTGGACATTGCGAAGGCCTTCGATCGGGTTTGACACAAGGCGCTTCTTTCAAAGCTCCCTTCCTATGGGCTTCCTGGGAAATTGTGCAAATGGATCACCAGCTTCCTTGCTGATCGAAGCATCAATGTCGTAGTAGACGGTGCATGCTCTGATTACAAACCTATCAACGCTGGTGTTCCACAAGGTTGCGTGCTATCACCAACGCTGTTTCTCCTGCATATCAATGATATGTTGCTAACTGGTAGCATTCATTGCTATGCAGACGACAGCACTGGGGATGCCCTATATACCGGCCGTGCCAATATTTCTCGGGAAAACGTCGCCGAGTACCGGGACAAACTTGTGTCTGAAGTCGAGTCTTTGCTGAACAAATTCTCGGATTGGGGGCGACTAAATCTAGTCCAGTTTAATCCTCAGAATACACAAGTTTGCGCTTTAACCGCTAAAAGAACCCCTTTGTCGTATCTCCTCAGTTTCAAGGCACTCTGCTTCTTGCCTCAGCCAGTATCGGTATCCTCGGAGTCGACATATCGAGTGACGTGCAGTTTCGTGGTCACTTGGAAGACAAGGCCAAATTGGCCTCTAAAAAGCTTGGCGGGCTTAGCAGAGCGGGACAGTATTTCATGCCGGCACACCGCCTGCAACTTTACAAGGCGCAGGTTCAGTCTCACATGGAATACTGTACCCATCTCGTGTAAGCGATTTGGTACCTTATCTTGCCGACCCAACAATTGGAGCAGCTGTGCTGAGTCACCTTAGCAATATCATCGGACTCAATGCCACTGGGGTGAACTACGGGCTGCTGCGCGAGTTTTGCACATGGGTGTCACGATCGTGGAATGGGGCAGGAGAGAATGCTGTTAGGAGGGCATGATGTCGTAGGCGTTATAGTGCCGTCAGCCCCAGAAGGGGGAGAGTGACGTAAAATTGGGACAAGGAATAGATGAAATATTTGTAGGGAGTCAAGAAAGTGCGCGCGGGAAAAGAGCCACGAGCAAGTACCGCGCGCATCTCCCGAGATTCGGCCCGTATGACCTGAGGGTCGGTGGGGCCATGGGAGGTGGAGGGTTGTTCCCATCTCGATAAGGGCAGCCCCATAGTTAACCAGGAAGACAAGGCACTACGATTAGGACAAATCAACCTGGGTCGAGGGGAGCTCGCCGCGGCTGAGCTGCCCATCCTGGCGCGTGAACTGCACCTGGACATTGTTCTTGTACAAGAACAGTACTCCCAGGTTGCGGGGATCGTTCAGGTGGGCTGTCATCCGTGGGCGGGCATCTATCTTGCCGACCCAGCAATTGGGGTAGCAGTGCTGAGCCACCTCAGCAACGAATTTTGTGTGCCATGTTGACAGATGGGATCTCTATGTGGTGTCAGCGTACTTTAAATTTAGCGACACTATTGATGACCACCTGCACCACTTAGAGGTCGCCCTGAGTTGCCTTAAGGGCAGAAGTGTGATCATGGGCCTCGATGCCAATGCGCACTCGCCACTCTGGTATTGTGATCGCCGACACTACGTGGGAAGAGGACAAAATGTACAATATCGAAGGCAGCAAATGGAGGCGTTTATTATCACACATGCTCTAACGTTGGCAAATATGCCTGACCAGCCCAACACCTTCTCTGGGCCTAGAGGTGAGTCCAACGTGGACCTGACCCTCTCCACTGGGGACGTCTACCTTGCCGAGTGGCGAGTGCACGAGGGGGTATGCGCCAGTGATCATAATTTAATAACTTACACGGCCACTACCAGCAGGCCGACGACGCGCGCAGCATCCGTTAGGGATCCCCCCCGTTTTCGTGACCGAGGGGTGGATTGGGAAAGGTTCCGGGCGATTGTCAAATTACGAATGGGATGGCTGCACGTAGAAAAACCCGCGGCTCTCCTGGCGAAGGTGTTCTCAGGGGTCGTAATTCGCTCTGCGGAGGAAGGCCTAGGGGAGCGTCGCCCCAGGGGGTTGGGGGGGTATGAATGGTGGATATTTGAACTGGATAAAACTCGAAAGTTGCAATGCAAACTTAGGCGTGCTTGGCAGAGTAAAAGGCGTCTGGGAGGTAGGTCTGAGGAGTTAGCCAGGATGGCTTTCCATAGTGTGCGTGCGAGATATAGGAAGATGATGGTGGAGGCGCAGCAGTCGCAGCACAGGAAGATTGCCAACTCTGACAATGAGGACCCATGGGGCTTTGCATACAGGCTCTCCAGCGGCAGGGTACGTCCGCCTGCAAATGTGATCAATGGGATCGCCTTTGCGGGTGTACACCCGGACGGTCTGGAAGCAGCGATGCATAAATTAATGTCTGCGCTCTGTCCGGATGACAGCACTGACTGCGACTCGCCTTATCACCGGAAGGTTCGTCTGCTGGTGGCTTTCATGCCGTCGGGTGGAGCTGCGCCTCCACTTAAGGTTGAGGAACTGGGTGGTATAGTTAAGGCCTTGCCCAACACGGCTCCGGGACTCGATGGAGTGAGTGCGAGAATCGTGAGGAATGTGTGGATTGCGGCACCGAGGGAATTTCACTCGGTGTATGCCAAGTGTGTGGAAGAGGGGGTTTTCCCCAATGTATGGAAGGACGGAAGACTGATTGTCATTCCCAAGGGTAATGACAAGCCGCTCACCGACGTCAAGGCATACCGTCCAATAACGCACCTCCCTGTTTTGGGAAAATTATTGGAACGAGTAATTTTAAGATGTGCTCCCGCGATTAGCCGCGGGATATCCGAGTACCAGCACGGATTTTCTCCGGGGCGGTCTACAGTAACAGCGCTGCGTGTACTCCTCAGCACGGCAAGGTATTCTCGGGCATGCTACGTGCAAGAAATATTCTTAGATATCTCCGGCGCCTTCGACAATGCCTGGTGGCCGATGATGATGGTCAAGGCCAAAATTTCATAAACAAAACATCAACATTTATAGAATGTTGGTGGACTACTTCACCTCCAGGCGTGTGGGCCTCTGCATCGTAGACCGGGTAGAGTGGAAGACGTCGACCATGGGATATCCTCAAGGCTCCGTGCTGGGCCCAACACTGTGGAATGTGCTGATGGATGATCTGCTCCGACTCCCTCTGCCCGAAGGAATAGCCATGACTGCCTATGACGATGATGTTACAATCTTGATTGAATCGGGTACGAAATCGGGTATCGAATCCAGGGCCAGAGTCACTCTGGACCTTGTACGGGAGTGGGGGCTAAGTAATCGACTGGAGTTTTCCTCCTCAAAGTCGACCACCATGACTGTTAGAGGGAAACTTCAGCACCCCCCCGTTATTAAACTTGGTGGGGAATCTATTAAGACAGTGACCAACGTTAAGGTATTAGGCATGGTTTTAGACTCGGGACTATCGTTTGTGCAACATGCATCCGATATCTCTGAAAGAGCGACCAAGGGATTCGGTAAGATGTCTCGCGTATCTACATCATCATGGGGTGTACGATATCCGAGTTTAAAATTAATTTATAGAGGAGTTTTTGTGTCCACGCTTACGTATGCGGCAGAGTGCTGGTACGAGCGTGCAAACATGTACACAGTTCATAGCGTACTACTGAGATCGCAGCGATCCGCTCTTGTATTGTTAACCAAGGCGTACCGATCCACTAGCACGGCGGCCTTACCGGTGCTGGCTGGCGTTCTCTCTGCTGACCTAGAGGTCATCCGTGCTGGTAGGATGGGTATAGCACGTTTGACCGCGCCCAAAAAGGAGTTGAGCAGACGGAATCGCGATATCTGGACTGAGGTGATAGGCGCCTGGCAGGATAGATGGACGTGTGATACAAAAGGACGTGAGCTACATCGATTTTTCTCGGACGTGGCGTTGAGATTCAGTTATACCTGGGTCTCACCGGACTACCAAACCTCTCAGATTCTCACCGGACATGGATGCTTTCGGAAGAGACTGAGCGACATGAAACTATGTGAAATTAGTATGTGTGAGTGCGGTATGTCGGAGGAGGATGTTCACCATGTTCTATGGGAATGTCCTCTGTATGATGACCTAAGAGTGAAAATGATGGATGGACTAGTTCGTCCGGCTCAGGGACCAGTTTACTACTCGGATCTCGTCAGCGAAGTGGTAAACTACGGACTGTTGCGCGAGTTTGCGCATAGGTGGCACGATCGCAGGACAAGGCAGGATGGAAGGCTGGTAGGAGCGCCCGACGACGTAGGCGTCAATGTGTCGTCAGCCCCAGAAGGGGGAGAATGACGTTAAACTGGGACAAGGAATAGATTAAATATTTGTAGGGAGTCAAGAAAGTGTGCGTGGGAAAGAGCCACGTGCAAGTACCGCGCGCATCTCCCGAGATTCGGCCCGTATGACCTGAGGGTCGGTGGGGCCATGGGAGGTGGAGGGTTGTTCCCATCTCTGGGCAGGGGCACCCCAGTGCCAGCTCCTTCCACTTGACCGCATCCAGCGCAGAGCGGCTCGAATCGTCGACGACCGAGCCCTTTCCGATCGGCTCGATTCATTGGCACTGCGAAGAGATGTTGCATCCCTTTGCATTTTCTATCGCATCTACCATGGGGAGTGTTCTGAGGAATTGTTCGGATTAATCCTAGCCGCCAAATTTCACGAACGCACATCGCGGCAGAACTCCCGATACCATCCACACCATCTGGATGATTGGCGGTCCACCACTGTACGATTTAGAAGATGTTTTCTTCCTCACACGACTTCCTTGTGGAATCGATTACCATCAGCGATTTTTCCGGACCGATACGACTTAGGGACCTTCAAGAAAAGAGCGTACTCCTTTTTAAAAGGCCGGCAATGCATCTGCGATTCCCCCGGTGTTGCAGTTGTTCATGGGCGGCGGTAGTCACTTACCATCAGGTGAGCCGCATGCTCGTTTGCCCCCTCTCCAATAAAAAAAAAAATTTCTTACATGAAAGGAATAAATGAAATTTAACTACTTATGTACTTACGTTACAGTAAAATGTGGATGACAGTGTTGATTGTATGATTATTACGAGTATATGTACTAAAGAATATCACGTTTAGTGATAATATTATATTGGACAATTGCTTGTGATCCCGAATAAAGAAAAAAAATATTTTAAAATTTTACTTATAATAGAAAGTAAAAGCCGACTACAAAGAAATAAAGAAAGGTAAATGATTTCCATCATGCGTAAGTATACAATATATGCTTTAATTTTTACCATTTTTTTTTTAGAATAGAGGGCAAACGAGCATGTGGCTCACCTGATGGTAAGTGACTACCGCCGCCCATGAACAACCGCAACACCAGGGGAATTGCAGATGCGTTGCCGGCCTTTTAGAAAGGTGTAAGCTCTTTTCTTGAAGGTTCCTAAGTCGTGTCGGTTCGGAAAATTCGCTGGTGGTAATTGATTCCACAAAGAAGTTGTGCGAGGGAGAAAACTTCTTCTAAATCGCACAGTGGTGGACCGCCAATCATCCAGATGGTATGGATGGTAACGCGAGTTTTGTCGCGACGTGCGATGGTGAAATTGAGCGGCTGGAATTAGTCCGAACAATTCCTCAGAGCACTCCCCGTGATAGATGCGATAAAATACGCAAAGAGATGCAACATCTCTACGCAGTGCAAGTGTATCGAGCCGATCGGAAAGAACTCGGTCGTCGACGATTCGAATCGCTCTGCGCTGGATGCGGTCAAGTGGAAGGAGCTGGCACTGGGGTGCCCCGGCCCAGAGATGAGAACAGTATTCCATGTGTTGGCTAAACTTCCGCTTTGTAAAGTTGCAAGCGATGTGCCGGCATGAAATACTGTCTTGCTCTGCTGAGCACGCCAAGCTTTTTAGAGGCCAATTTGGCCTTCCCTTCCAAGTGACCACGAAACTGCACGCTATTCGATATGTCGACGCCAAGGATTCCGATACTGGCTGAGGCAGCAAGGGGAGTGCCTTGAAACTGAGGAGATACGACAAAGGGGTTCTTTTTAGCAGTAAACGCGCAAACTTGTGTCTTCTGGGGATTGAACTTGACTAGATTTAGTCGGCACCAATCCGAGACTTTGTTAAGCAAAGACTCGACTTTAGACACAAGTTTGTCCCGGTACTCGGCGACGTTTTCCCGAGAAATATTGGCACGGCCGGTATATAGGGCATTCCCAGTGCTGTCGTCTGCATAGCAATGAATGCTACCAGTTAGCAACATATCATTGATATGCAGGAGAAACAGCGTTGGTGATAGCACGCAACCTTGTGGAACACCAGCGTTGATAGGCTTGTAATCAGAGCATGCACCATCTACTACGACCTTGATGCTTCGATCAACAAGGAAGCTGGTGATCCATTTGCACAATTTCCCGGGAAGCCCATAGGAAGGAAGCTTCGAAAGAAGCGCCTTGTGCCAGACCCGATCGAAGGCCTTCGCTATGTCCAAACTAACGGCCAATGCCTCCCCCTTGGACTCTACTGCCTCCGCCCATCTATGACTTAAGTAAACTAGAAGATCACCTGCTGATCGACCCCGACGAAAACCGTACTGACGGTCACTGATCAGCTGGTGATCCTCAAGGTACCTCATGAGCTGGCAGTTTATAATGGATTCCATTATTTTGGAGAACAAGAAGGTGATGGCGATAGGCCTGTAGTTGGACGGGTCTGAGCGGTCGCCTTTTTCAGGAATCGGGTGGACCAAAGCTGTATTCCATGAATTCGGGACTACGCCTTGGGAGTAGGAGTACCGGAAAAGACGCGTTAAAACCGGTGCCAACTCCGGAGCACAAGTCTTCAGCACAATGGGAGGGACTCCATCGGGCCCACTCGACTTGCTGACGTCCAAGGAGAAGAGTGCTTTGCGAACCGAGCGCTGTGTAAATCGCACATCCGGCATGGAGCACTCACATCGCGGGATGGTCGGCGGTGTGTACCCCCCGTCATCTAGAGTCGAGTTAGACGCAAAAAGAGAGCACAACATCGGCAACATCCGCTTTCTCTTTTGCGGCATGGGCTAGTGAGTCGTCCTCTCTGTGCAGAGATGGAAGGGATGGCTGACAGAAGTTCCCTTGGACAGCCTTGGCGAGAGACCAGAATGCACGGGTTCCCGAAGGAAGACGAACTAGCTTCTCGCCAATTCTGCCGATGTGCTCAGACCTTGCCTTGGCAATGACGCTTTTGAAGGACCTGGAGGCGGAATTATACTTCTTTTTAAGTGCGCTGGTGTTTAAATCCCGAGACGTTGATGCGTCAGCCCAGGCCCGGTAGCACTCCTGCTTATAGCGTGATGCTATTTTACAGGAGCGACCAAACCATGCCTGGGATCTGCCTCCGATGGGCACCACAGAGGATGGAATAAAAAGTTCCATTCCCTGTAGCACCACATCAGTGACAGAGTCAGCAACATCGCTGGGATCATCCGGCGAGAAGCAAACCCGCCCCCATGGGTAGGAAGCAAAGAAAGACCGCATTCCGTCCCAATCCGCCGACCTGTAATGCCAAACACTGCGGCAACCTGCAAAACGCAACCGCGAGTGGAGTGTGAGTGGCACCACAATCCGGATCAGACAATGGTCCGAAGAGCCGAGAGGGGCATCGACGGAAACCTGATATCCGTCCGGATGAGAGGTCAGCAGAAGGTCCAACAGGGAAGGTGTGTGATCCTCCACATCTGGAATCCGCGTAGGCGAAGTAACCAGTTGTGTCAGACCATATGCCAAGGCAAAGTCATAAACAGATCTCCTCGCATGATCGGTTAAACGTGAACCGAGCCATTCGGCGTGGTGGGCGTTAAAATCGCCAAGGATCACGATCTCTGCGGATGGGACCTATTGTAGCATGGAATCTGTAGCCATTTGGACGTGGTCGATGCGTCGATCTGTTTCGGCATTACCGCTATGGGACCTATAGAGGCACCCGTAGACGCGGAGATGGTTGTCGCTGTCTACGCGCAGCCATAGGATGGACAGGTCCGT